TTAAAGAATTTTTTTCGAGGACTATTAGAGCCTTAAGCGTGGATTTTCAAACAAAATATTTTTGAGGACACTTAGAGCCATAAGCGTGGATTTTTTAAAGAATTTTTTTAGAGATTTTTTCCAAGACCATTAGAGCCATAGGCGTGGATTTTTTTAAAAGATTTCTAGGACTATTAGAGTCATAGGCTTGGATTTTTTAAAGATTTTTCCTAGGACCATTAGAGCCATAGACGTGGATTTTTTAAAGATTTTTTTCTACAACTATTAGAGCCATAAGCGTAGATTTTTTAAAGATTTTTTTCTAGGACTATTAGAGGCATAAGCGTGGATTTTTAAAGAATTTGTTAAAGATTTTTTTTTCTAGGACTATTAGAGCCATAAGCGTGGATTTTTTAAAAATCTTTTCCTAGGACTATTAGAGCCATTAGCGTGGATTTCTAAAGATTTTTTTCTAGAACTATTAGAGCCATTGGCGTGGAATTTTTAAAGATTTTTTTCCAAGACCATTAGAGCCATAGGCGTGGATTTTTTATAGATTTTTTTTTCCAAGACCATTAGAGAAATTGGCGTGGATTTTTTATAGAATTTTTTTCCAAGACCATTAGAGCCATAGGCGTGGGTTTTTTGAAAGATTTTTTTCCAAGACCATTAGAGCCATAGGCGTGGATTTTTTATAGAATTTTTTTTCCAAGACCATTAGAGCCATTGGCGTGGAATTTTTAAAGATTTTTTTCCAAGACCATTAGAGCCATTGGCGTGGAATTTTTAAAGATTTTTTTCCAAGACCATTAGAGCCATAGGCGTGGATTTTTTATAGATTTTTTTTTTCCAAGACCATTAGAGAAATTGGCGTGGATTTTTTATAGAATTTTTTTTCCAAGACCATTAGAGCCATAGGCGTGGGTTTTTTGAAAAATTTTTTTCCAAGACCATTAGAGCCATAGGCGTGGATTTTTTATAGAATTTTTTTTCCAAGACCATTAGACCCATAGGCGTGGGTTTTTTAAAGATTTTTTTCCAAGGCCATTAGAGCCATAGGCGTGGATTTTTTAAAGATTGTTTTCCAAGACCATTACAGGCCATAGGCGTGAAATTTTTAAAGATTTTTTTTCCAATACCATTTGGGCCATAGGCCTTGGATTTAGGTGTGGATTTTTTGAAGAATTTTTTCCAAGACCATTAGAGCCATAGGCATGGATTTTTTTAAAGAACTTTTTTCCAAGACCATTAGAGCCATATGCGTGGATTTTTTAAAGAATTTTTTTCCAAGACCATTAGAGCCATAGGATTGGATTTTTTAAAGAATTTTTTTTCGAGACCATTAGAGCCCTAGGCGTGGATTTTTCAAAAAAATTTTTTCCAAGACCATTAGAGCCATAGGCGTCGATTTTTTAAAGATTTTTTTCCAAGACCATTAAAGCCATAGGCGTGGATTTTTTAAAGATTTTTTTCCAAGACCATTACAGGCCATAGGCGTGAAATTTTTAAAGATTTGTTTTCCAAGACCATTACAGGCCATAGGCGTGGAATTTTTAAAGATTTTTTTTTCCAAGACCATTACAGGCCATAATCGCTTTTTTATAACTATTATTTATTGCTATTATTTATTATTTATATTTGTCATTTTTTGGGTATTATTAAAACCATAAACGTGGATTTGTTTGGGGTTAGAAAATAAATGTGGTGTGAATTTTAAAGGAAATTTTTTCTAGGAGCGTAAAGATTTGCCATTGTCTGTCCATTTCAAGTCTGCCAAAATTAATTTTTGGGCCTAATGTTCGTTGCACATTACCGAATTTTCCCCATTACATAATTGTTAGTGTAAAAATATCCATCTTGTCTTTTAAAGGGTTAAATAAAAAAACTACAACTGAAGAATATCTAACAATAATAAATCGTGCAATTCAGGCCACCAAAAGAACGAAAAAAAGAAAAAGAACGACTTAACACGCGCACTAACTTCAAATGCAATTCTAATTAAAGCAAAGTAATCAGAGTAAATGAAAGTCAAATAGAAAGTGAGCGGCAAGAGAATAGAAAAGAAATGCAAAAAATAGAGTTAAACGAATTAAATAAAAACGTAAGTCAATAATAAATGCATTTGAAAACGGAAGGTAATGGAAGATTCTAGCCATGTAACCCAGCGAAGAATTTCCAGAGACCCGCAGATGATCTGAGGAATGGTGAAAAATATATGCGATTGACTGATTGCTCAATAATTGTTGATTGAAAGGAGTAACATCTTCATTTTCGAAGCATCTGCATTTTCATTGATTTGTTGTTGGGAATGAAACATTCAAAAATACCAGAATTAAGAGCGTACAGATATGTGGGCTCCAGCCACGGAACCGAACAATTCTGATGGCGTCGGAGTTGGATTCGGAAAAAAGGTATACTCCGGCTCGGCAAATTAATATATATTTTTTATTCCTTAATTTTCCAGTTCTATTTTCACCTTTTTTTTCGTGGTTCAACAGCCATTGGAAATAAAATTGAAGTAGCAACTATTCCAAAATATTGTTTCTTTAGAATAAGATAGACATATTACCCACAACCTATGAGTAAAATCATCGTACATATTCTTCAAATTTTGTCAAATTGAGAGTTAAATTTTTGGTTATATATGCGGAGCTATGGCTTTATTTGAACAGATATTCATCAGATTTGATATATTTTTTTAGGGCTAAATAAATAATTGAATGTGTCAAAATTTATCCCAATTTGCTGATATTGCACAATGTACATGAAATCTGATCTTATAGATGTGAGCTTTATCTAAATCTGAACCGATCTGGAAAGAACATCCTACAAAAAACTTTAACAAAACGTTCATATTAAGGGTTATGGAAGATATACAGGGTGAGATGAAAAAACTGAAACAAAGTCAAAGGCCATAATTTTTACATTTTTTTTATTGTATTGAATGAAAGCAAAAAATGTCGGAAACAGCATCAAATTTTAGAATAAGTTTAGATTTCTTCGAATTGGTCACCTTTGGCATGAATTTTGGCATTCAAACGGCCAATGAAACAGTCACTCGGTGTCCGAATATTGCTCTGCGGTATTTTGGACCATTCTTGGCGAAGCGCTTGCTTGAGGTGATCGACACTTTGGCCCACACCATCACCATGGCCTGCGCTTGAGTTCTGGTGGCCAACCGAAGGTGCACATTTTCAACTGACCTCTTTAGCAAGTAAACGCGATCATTTTGTTTGTTTACAAACTGCTGTACAACGAATGTTTTCACATCGGAGAAAACGAAATTCGGCAGTTCACCACTATCGGCCAAGCGAAGCAACTCTTTAGCTCTTTTCAGTCTATTGTCTTTCTGTTGCGGTGTAAGTTCTTGTACTTTTTGGAATTTGGCTCGTACGGCAGCGATATTCTCGGCCGATCGCCTTGGTCGACTTTTATATGGCCTCTTCGGATTAGAAGGAGCCTTACCAGTCGAAAATTTTTCGTATAAACGCTTAATGGTGTTCTTAGAAGGCGCACTTCTCACATTTTTTAATGTTTTAAAAGCACGTTGAGTTTTCACAATTGACTTCTTCTGTTGAATGTAAATTTCAGAGCGCTCGCGTGGCGTGTATTGGTTCATGGTAAAAATCTGTTTGGACTGACGCTTCAAATGCGGTATGTCATTAAGCGATGTGACATCTCTGTCAAAAGTTATGGCGTTGGCAGATGGGTCCGTCGAATATGGGCAACCCTGTATAAAGAAATCACACTATTACGCTGAGAATTCCATCTTTTTTTATGGAAAATTCTCACCAAAATGCTTTTGTACGCTTGTAAACAATATAACGAGCTGTCGCTGGAATAATTTTAACAGCTGTCGGACGAGTGGGGGTATGCGAAGTTTAAAAATAATCGGACTATTCTTGCAAAATTTTATAAGCGTTGGTATTATTCGTAATTTTTACCACACGTGGAGGAGGTACCAAAAGGAGTCGTCCGATATATTTCAACTTTATGCTACTTTATGTTACGAACATTGGGATATGCGAAATCTAAAACAATCGTCCTCTTCTTTCAGACTTTGTAAGCGTTACTATTATTCAAATTTTGTTGACCCTTTGTGGGAAAGGTATCAGAAATAGTGGACCGGTAAATGCCATTTTCACACTCAGAAAAATATTGAGGTGAGCGAAATTGGAAGAGAATGGGACTATTATTTCACATTTTGTAAGACCCTTTGTGGGGGAGGTACTTGATGGGGTGGGCAGATATTGTCGATTTTCGCCCCTGACCTAGAAAATCCTTTCTATTCTATGAGTAAATAAATTTCTGTGAAATATCGACCTTTATTGCCGAGACCTCCCCGCATCTCCGAACTCGATCTAAATGTGAAAATAATAATATTACGATATACCGAGTTTGGTCTAAATCGGATACTCCCCTCCAGAGTTATAATGCGCACCTGACTCCAACAAAAAATACTAAAGTGGATATGGATATGGATTTCTAGGGTCTAAAACCATAATATCGATGAGACACGTTTTGGTTGTATCAAATTCTATAACCCTCTGTAGTCATATGACTGAGGGTATAACAAGGACTACTGAAAATTAATTAACCCTTCTTCTTAATCCTACAAAGCCACTGACGAACAAAACTCATTACATACATTTTGTTAGAAAACTTAATTTGACATGTAATCAGTTGCAGTTTTATCATGGCAGACTATTAATTACCAAATCATGACTTTGTGTCATTAAAAAATTATAATTATTTTTACATTACAAATCATCATTGAACATTGTTTACACCAATAGCTGATAATATTCAAACACTAATTGTTTCATGGCAAAAGCCTCTATCATTATCAGAAAACCAATGCCAATAATTTGACTGGGCAATGCCAAAGTATTTAAGGACCCACCCAGAAAACTTTTATTCACATAATCGCCATAAATTTAAAAATTCTCACGTAGTTGTAGGTAAAAAACTTTTTCCCCTCTCAAATACTCATTTCTTTTCGTTTTTTTTTCTCTCTTTAGCCCAAATTAATACGGAAATATGGATATCCCTCGGAAACGCATACCGTAGTAACAAAAGATGGTTACATACTGGAAATGCATCGGATACCGAAAAAGGGAGCCCAACCGGTGCTGTTAATGCATGGCATATTGGATACATCGGCCACATGGGTGCTAATGGGTCCCAAATCGGGGTTAGGTAAGTGGCATGCAACACATGGCGACAATAACTTTTATATACACCTTTCAATTAAATTTTTAGGTTACATGCTATCCGATTTGGGCTATGACGTGTGGATGGGTAATGCTCGTGGTAACCGGTATTCGAAAAATCACACCAGCCTTAATAGTGATTATATGGAATTTTGGGATTTTACTTTCCACGAAATGGGAAAATATGATCTGCCAGCTTCGATTGATTATATTCTGACGAAGACGGGTTATGATCAACTGCATTATATTGGACATTCTCAGGTGATTACAAAAATAATATTTATTTGAATTCCTTGTTTTATTTGGATACCTTTTTTGGTTTTGTAGGGAACGGCTGTCTTTTGGGTGTTGTGTTCCGAACAGCCACAGTATGCCCAGAAAATCTTATCAATGCATGCCTTGGCTCCCATTGCCTATATTGCCGATATGAAGAGTCCCCTATTCCGCACTTTGGTACTGTTTTTGGACTTTTTGACGGTAAGGATGGTTGGTCAAAAGGTGGATATGGTTATGGCGAATATATATGTTTTTCAAAAAATTAATATGCTATAACCATGTTCCACTGTATTTTCATATGTGACATATGAATGTAGTAACGTTGTTTTCTTTTTTGTTTTAATTACGAAATTAGGCTGCCACACGCATGTTACGCATCACCGAATTTATGCCAAATACCAAATTCCTTGTCGAACAAACACAGGTGGTTTGTCATGACAATGCCATGACACAGGATGTCTGCTCCAATATTTTGTTCCTGGTTGCTGGTTACAATTCGGAACAGCTTAATAAGGTAAGAAGAAAATGTGTAATAATTATACCATTAAGGATATTTTTAGGGACTACGGGAAAAAATGTTTTCAAGAACGAATAAAATTGGAATTTTTAGGAATATTTTTGTGGGACCAAATTGATTTTATTGAAGAACATTTTCTCAAAGACCATTAGACCAATAAACGTGGACTGTTTAAAGAATATTTTTTCAATGACCAATAAACGTGGATTTTTTTAAGAATATTTTTTCAAGGACCATTAAACGTGGATTTAAAAAAAACATATTTTTTTCAAGGACCTTTAAACGTGGATTTTTTAAAAAAATATTTTTTCAAGGACCATTAAACGTGGATTATAAAAAAATATTTTTTCAAGGACAATTAAACGTGGATTTTTTAAAAAAAAAAAAATTTCAAACGTTTTTAAACGTTTATTAAAAAAAAAATATTTTGTCAAGGACCATTAAACGTGGATTTTTTAAAAAAATATTTTTTCAAGGACCATTAAACGTGGATTTTTTAAAAAAATATTTTTTCAAGGACCATTAAACGTTTATTAAAAAAAAATATTTTGTCAAGGACCATTAAACGTGGATTTTTTAAAAAAATATTTTTTCAAGGACCATTAAACGTGGATTTTTTAAAAAAATATTTTTTCAAGGACAATTAAACGTGGATTTTTTAAAAAAATATTTTTTCAAACGTTTTTAAACGTTTATTAAAAAAAAATATTTTGTCAAGGACCATTAAACGTGGATTTTTTAAAAAAATATTTTTTTAAGGACCATTAAACGTGGATTTTTTAAAAAAAATATTTTTTCAAGGACCATTAAACGTGGATTTTTAAAAAAAAAATATTTTTTCAAGGACCATTAAACGTGGATTTTTTAAAAAAATATTTTTTCAAGGACCATTAAACGTGGATTTTTTAAAAAAATATTTTTCCAGGACCATTAAACGTGGATTTTTTTTTAAAAAAAAATATTTTGTCAAGGACCATTAAACGTGGATTTTTTGAAAAATATTTTGTCAAGGACCATTTAACATGGATTTAAAAAAAATATATTTTTTCAAGGACCATTAAACGTGGATTTTTAAAGAATATTTTTCAAGGACCATTAAACGTGGATTTTTAAAGAATATTTTTCAAGGACCATTAAACGTAAATATTTTAAAAAAATATTTTTTCAAGGACCATTAAACGTGGATTTTTAAAGAATATTTTTCAAGGACCATTAAAGGTGGATTTTTTACAAAAATATTTTTTCAAGGACCATTAAACGTGGATTTTTAAAGAATATTTTTCAAGGACCATTAAAGGTGGATTTTTTACAAAAATATTTTTTCAAGGACCATTAAACGTGGATTTTTAAAGAATATTTTTCAAGGACCATTAAAGGTGGATTTTTTACAAAAATATTTTTTCAAGGACCATTAAACGTGGATTTTTAAAGAATATTTTTCAAGGACCATTAAAGGTGGATTTTTTACAAAAATATTTTTTCAAGGACCATTAAACGTGGATTTTTAAAGAATATTTTTCAAGGACCATTAAAGGTGGATTTTTTACAAAAATATTTTTTTAAGGACCATTAAACGTGGATTTTTAAAGAATATTTTTCAAGGACCATTAAAGGTGGATTTAAAAAAATATATATTTTTTCGAGGACCATTAAACGTGGACTATTTTTTCAAGGGGCATTAAACGTGGACTTTTTTTAAAAAAATATTTTTTCAAGGACCATTAAACGTGGATTTTTTAAAAAAAATATTTTTTCGAGGACCATTAAACGTGGATTTTTTAAAAAAATATTTTTTCAAGGACCATTAAACGTGGATTTTTAAAGAATATTTTTTCAGGAACCATTAAACGTGGATTTAAAAAAATATTTTGTCAAGGAACATTAAACGTGGATTTTTTAAAAAATATTTTGTCAAGGACCATTAAACGTGCATTTAAAAAAAAATATTTTGTCAAGGACCATTAAACGTGCATTTAAAAAAAAATATTTTTTCCCGTGGATTTTTTTTAAACGTGGATTTTTAAAAAAAAATATTTTTTCAAAGACCATTAAACGTGCATTTTTTAAAAAAAATATTTTTTCAAAGACAATTAAACGCGGATTTTTAAAAAAATATTTTTTCAAAGACCATTAAACGTGCATTTTTTAAAAAAAATATTTTTTCAAAGACAATTAAACGCGGATTTTTAAAAAAATATTTTTTCAAAGACCATTAAACGTGCATTTTTTAAAAAAAATATTTTTTCAAAGACCATTAAACGTGCATTTTTTAAAAAAAATATTTTTTCAAAGACCATTAAACGTGCATTTTTAAAAAAAATATATTTTTTCAAAGACCATTAAACGCGGTTTTTTAAAAAAATATTTTTTCAAGAACCATTAAACGCGGATTTTAAAAAAAATATATTTTTTTTCAAGGACCATTAAACGTGGACTTTAAAAAAAAATATTTTTTCAAGTGCCATTAAACGTGGACTTTTTTTAAAATAATATATTTTTTCAATGGACATTAAAGGTGGAGTTTTTAAAAAAATATTTTTTCAAGGACCATTAAACGTGGATTTTAAAAAAATATATTTTTTCAAGGACCTTTAAACTTGGATTTTTTAAAAAAATATTTTTAAGTGCCATTAAACGTGGATTTTAAAAAAATATTTAAGGGCCATTAAACGTGGATTTTTAAAAAAATATTTTTCAAGGACCATTAAACGTGGATTTTTTAAAAAAAATATTTTTTCAAGGACCATTAAACGTGGATTTTTTTAAAAAAATATTTTTCAAGGACCTTCAGACCAATAAACGTGGATTTTTTAAGGAATATTTTTCAAGGACCTTTAGGCCAATAGACGTGGATTTTTAAAGAATATTTTTCAAGGACCATTCGACCAATAAACGTGGATTTTTTAAAGAATATTTTCAAGGACCTTCAGACCAATAAACGTGGATTTTTTAAAGAATATTTTTCAAGGACCTTTAGACCAATAAACGAGGATTTTTTAAAAAATATTTTTCAAGGACCTTCAGACCAATAAACGTGGATTTTTTAAAGAATATTTTTCAAGGACCTTCAGACCAATAAACGTGGATTTTTTAAAGAATATTTTTCAAGGATCAAAATACCAATAAACGTCGATTTTTTAAAGAATATTTTTCAAGGACCATCCGGCCAATAAACGTCGATTTTTTAAAGAATATTTTTCAAGGACCATCCGGCTAATAAACGTGGCTTTTTTAAAGAATATATTTCAAGAACCATACGGCCAATAAACGTGGATTTTTTTAAAGAATATATTTCAAGGACCATACGGCCAATAAACGTGGATTTTTTTAAAGAATATTTTTTCAGAACCATCTCAACAATAAATTTGGGATTTTTTAAGAATTTTCTTTAGGAACATTTCGAAATATACACGAAAAACAAGGTTTTTTAAAGGACCATCAATATTTTACTACATGTCACCGATTTGGATGTTTGGGAAAATTATGATTCCCCTTACCCTTTTCTTCTCCCCAAAGTTACTTCAATTAAATTTGTCTTCTTTTCAAACTTCCAAGTGTCATTTGACCATCCATGACACGACTTCCTCTTCATGTGTCGACGACAATGTTGACTCTCATGTCACAATTTCCTAATTGAAAATTGAGACATGTGTATGATGATCATCCCCACCCCACCATCTCTCTACCACTGCCACTCTTCCAACTTGTATCCCCAAAAATCTGTAATGAAAAATTCCCAGCGGACCGCACAATTTAGGCAAATTGAAGCAATTCTATCACTGAAATGCCAATGGCGGGAGTGTAGTGAAGTGATTGTTGTCCTTTGTTTGTTGGCAAATAATTAACTGCCTACAAGTCGCTGTTGTCCTTGTACAGACATCGACACAACTACGAAAGCCACCACAACACAAATTAAGTTCCCGAAAAGGAAGAGCTGTTGTCCACTAAATGTCAGCAGAAATTTCCGCTTTTGCGTGTGTGGATGGGAATAAACTAATGGTATGTGTTCATACATCCATATACATATAAAGTGTTTGCCCTTATCCCGCTGTACCACTCCTCCTCGCTTTGCGAAAATATTTGTCACAGAAACACTCAACTGTTGTTGTTTTTGTTGGACAAGTGTGTGTGTGTGTGTGCGAGAGTACGTGTGTTTACGCAACATTGTCACCATAACATGACCCCTTACAGTGTTTACTGACAAAATATTTTCCGACCCTTCCGCTGTTGCCAAATTTGCCACCGGATCGTTGTTAGACCCAGATTTAGTTTCAAAACGAGACGAATGACTTATGGAAACCACACAAAGTGTCGTCGCATAACTGATAGTGTCATTACCATCTCCGGTGACCTTTAATATATCACCGACAGCCTGTGGCATTGGCTGGACTAATGTTAACCCATTAATAATTCTTAATGGGTGTTTTTTTTCTCTTTTTCTTTCTGGATAAACATAATATTTACAAAAGAAGGCAGGGTGGTGGTGGCTATCAGTTTGCTCGAATTCGGTCAACATTTATGTTTTTAAATAATGAGCTGTTTTCAAATTTGTAAAACAATATATAAAAGAAAGCGAAAAATAAATCATTAAAATGGTGAGGAAATTAACTAAAGGTTATTTTTTCTAAGGGGATGTGGAAGAATCTATCCTCTCAGAAATTTTGAAAATTTTCAGTGGATATTAAAATATCAAAAAAAAATATTTCAAATATTTCCAAAAAAAAATCTCTAATTTTTTAATACATTTTTTCAATACATTTAATACATTTTTGGTCAAAAACCGGGTTTATATACATATCCGGTTTTAATTTTTTCCATGGATCAATAAACTAGACTAATATTGAACCTTGGAAAAAATATGCAATATTTTATCTGCATTAATTGGTTATTTGATCCTTAAAAATATATTAAAAAATTAAAGGTAGAGGATTTTCAAAGATTATTTTTACAGCGTCCATAGGGCTGCTAATGGATATTTTTATGCATCTTTGTTTTAGGTTCTTAGAGGAACATTTTTTTTTTTGAAGTATTTTTTGAAGTATTTTTTGAAAGAATATCAGTTTTTGATTTTCAAAAATTATTCTCCAAGGACAGACCAATCCATATATATAAAAGAGTTGCGAAATAACTGACTGACTGATCTAGAATCAATGTTCAGATGAAACGGCTGAATTATAATTTTGAAGTTTTGCACGAGGGCCAGTTTTAGTGCGTAGGCGTGTGATAAGGCTGGTTTTCTGGATGTTCATACTTAAAGGATACGCAAACTACTAAAATGCACTAGAAATTTAATACTTTGTATCGGATGAATGGAATGAGCTAGAATTCGGAAATTTGCAATGGGAGTCACTGATGGAGTGCAGGAAAGGAAATTCGTACTTTTGGAAATTCAAACCTTACCGTTACGTAAAGTTCTAAAAACCACGGATAGAGTTAAAGTTAATTCGAAACTTGAAACAAACGGTAAATAATGTAACTAAAATCATCAAAGTATCGGAGGTACCGTTATATCGGAGCTGTGCAAAGACCTGGACCAGCATAGACAGTTTTCTGTCACAGGCTGTAGTATCCAGTACGAACTTCAAATATCAAATTTGAAACATTTCCGGTTATTAACGTCTCTAAAATCATCAAAATACCGAATATTGGAAGGTACCGTTGTATGGGGGCTATACGAAGACGTGGGCTTACACAGACAATTTTCTGTGTTAGGCTGTAGTATCTATTTCAAACTTCAGATACCAAATTTGAAATAATTCCGGTGAATAATGTCGCTAAAATCATCAAAATACCGAATATCGCGAGGTGCCGTTATATGGGCGCTATACGAAGACCTGGACGTACATGGCTCATTTACGAACTTAACCTGCCTACTGGAAAAATAAACATGTGTGCAAAATGTTAGCCTTCTATCTCAATTCGTTCGAAAGATAGCGTGATTACAACAGACAGACAGACGGACATCGTCGAAAATCGACTAAGAATTTTACGCTGATCAAGAATATATACACTTTGTTGGGTCTGACATGAGTATTTCGAGGAGTTACAAACGGAATGACAAAGTTTATATACCCTCCATAGTATGAAATTTGGTATGAAAATCAAGACTAGGAAGAAAGATTTATGTAGAAGGTGATGGTTTAGAAATGTGTACTAAGTGTGCGAACTGTACTAAATGGTACTAAATTCCGAACAGGTTATTTTGGGGTGAATGGATGAAGGCAATTTTTTTTAATTTTGGGTCAGATAGTACTTGAAATCTGAAATTTGGTGTTAGGGTCGCTGTTCATGTGTAGCCTAGACATATGGGGGTGGTTTCGGAAATTTATACTATAATGGTATGAAAAGTCCTGAATGGTACAATATCTGGTATAGGGCTGAAATCGTCAAATTTGATATTGAGGTCTCTGTTGGTATCTCGAATTGAGATATGGAGGTGGTTTAGGAAATGCGTTCTATATTTGTAAGAAAAGTACTAAATGGTACTGAATTTGGTATTGGGTGAAGGGATAAGGTTATGGCTGGAATCCTGAAAATTGGTATTGAGGTCTCTGTTGGTATTTGGAATTGAAGTATGAAGAAAATATGTACTATAAATAAACGAATAGTACTAAATTTGGTACTAAAGTTGGTAATGGGGGAAATTACAGAGCTGAAATCCTGAAATTTGATTTTAAGATCACGGTTGGTATCTGCGGCTAAGAAGTGGAGATTTTATTGAAAATTTTAAATTCCAATAATTTTTTTACTTGGTAAAGGGATAGAGGTGAAATCCTAAAATTTAACATGGATATTACTGTTCGTATCTGTAGTTGAGAAAAGTTGATGGCTCAGGAAATGTGTCCTATATTTATTCGAAAAGTACTACATGGTACTAAATATGATATTGGGTAAAAGGATAGGGCTGGAATCCTCAAATTTGATATTGTGGTCTCTGTTGGTATCTGGAATTGAGTTATGAAGGTGGTAATGAAAATATGTACTATAATTGTACGAAAAGTACTAAATAGTACTAAACTTGTTTTTACGTGAAAGGATAGAGCTGAATTTTATATAGATGCCACTGTTGGTGATTGTGATTAAGATATGGAGGTGATTTCGGAGATATGTACTATTATTGTTCGAAAAGTACTAGGTGGTTTTGAATTTGTCATTGGGTAGGTAGGATAGGGCTGGAATTCTCAAATTTGATTTTGAAGCCTCTGTAGGTATCTGGAATTGAGATGTGGTGGAAATGTGTACAATGATTGTACGAATAATTCTAATTTGTACTAAATTTGGTATTGGGTGAAGGATTAGATCTGAAACCCCGAAATTTGACATACATGTCATTACTGGTGTCTGTGTTTAAGATATGTAGGTGATTTCTGATATGGGTACTATAATTGTACTAAATGGTACTAAATTTTGAGGTCTCTGTTGGTATCTTGAATTGAGATACGGAGATGGTTTTGAAAATTTGTACTATAATTGTTCGAAATGTGGTACTAAATTGGGTATTAGCTACGTGGTACTAAATTGGATATTGGCTGAAGAGATTGAGCTGAGATACTGATATTATATATGGATATTACTGTTGTTGTCTGTAGTTGAGAAATATGCAAAATCGGGATAGATTTGGAATTCTGAAATATGGTATCAAGTGTCTCGGGTAGAGAGTGTAAGAAAATTATATCAAACAATTTGGGATTGGCGGTTAGGATAGAACTGGAATTTTTAAATTTAATATGAAGCCCACTGTTGGTGCATAGTTGGGAGAGAATGAGGTGGATTTGGGAATGTGTACTATGATTGTAGTAAATGGTATTACATTTTGTAATGGGGGAAATTAAAGAGCTGAAATTTTTCATAAAGGTCACTTCTGGTACCTAAAGTTCGATCAAATCGATTTAAAATGCATTCTTAATTTGAAAGTGTTTTCAAATATGCTCGAATCTGGCTTGGAATCCATTATGAATTTAAATAAGATCGGAAAAATCGTGTAACATATAGCAAAATCGGTGAGAGCAACGAACGTACGCAGGTTCCAGAGTTGTTACTAACAGTGAATAGTGAATAATTTTGAAATTGTGTGGGGAGGTACCAGAAAGAGTAAACCGACATATCCCATATTTAAATTGTATCTTTGATTGATAGAAATACTGAGATACACAAATGGAATGTTGTAATACTTTTCATTATTCAAAATTTTGACCCGTTGTGGGGGAAATACCAGAAGTAGTGTTCTGACATATTCCATCCTCGCATCTGGTTTTTTGGATATGTGCATTTTGTAAGAGATTCAAAATGTTGACCCGTTGTGAAAGAGGTACCAGAAGGAGTGGACCGATATATTCTACCTTCACACCAGACCTTGTGTTAATAAAAAATATTAGAATGAGTTAAATTTGAGGACAATCGGAATTTTATTTTACATTTTATAATAGTTATAAATATTCAAAATGTTGACCCTTTGCGGGAGATGCACTTGATGGAGTGTACCGATATTGTCCATTTTTGTACCCAATCTAGAACGAATTAAAATATTGAGATTTGCAAAGTTTGCACAAACTCGAATTTTCCTTTCTTTTTCTGTGAGGTAAATTATTTTCTTTGAAAATTTCGAACTTTTGTGGGGGAGGTACCAAAAGGAGTAGACCGATGGTTCCCATCTTCGAACTCGATCTAAGTTGGACAAAAATATGATGATGTACCACGTTTGGACCAAATCGGATACTCTCTTTGAGAGTTATCGTGCCCACCATCCAGCCAGACAGACAGACCGACAGACGGACACCCCAAGATCGACCTCAAATGTTCTGAAACGGATTTGGTTCAAATGGAACTAGAGTCTAAGACCGTTATTTCGATGATAATGGCCGAATCGATGGCCGTATTAAATGATATAGAGGGTATATATCAGCCATATGACTAAGGCTGTAAAAAATTAAAGTTCTGCAGTTTTGTACTTGGACCTCAAATTCCTTAGACCGATATATTTATATTTTATTCGCACATCATTGTTTATTTTATATTTATTTAAATGTTTTATTCCCTGTATTTTCCATAAATTACCTCCCTCACTAATTATGTCACAAATTTATTTAATTTTTCTTTTTTTCTTCCCCCATTTCAGACCATGCTGCCCGTTATGTTGAGTCACACACCATCGGGTGCATCGATAAAACAGTTGGAACATTTCGGTCAACTAATGAAATCGGGTCACTTTAGTAAATTCGATCGTGGCTATTTGCGTAATCAGCTGGAATACAATCGAATGACACCACCCGATTATGATTTGTCCAAGGTCAAAGTGCCAGTGGCCCTCTACTATTCGATGAACGATATGTTGGTGTCGACGACGGGTGTGGATCGTTTGGCACGTGAGCTGCCGCATGTTATTGACAAATATTTGGTGCCAATGGAAAAATTCAATCATTTGGATTTCCTGTGGGCCATCGATGTCAAGACGCTGGTCTACAATCGGCTGGTGAGGAACCTGAGACGTGTTGAGAATTACAAATTGAAACATGCCCAAAATTTGGTCAATATTCAGTTGCAACAATTGCAACAACAGCAGCAGCAGCGACAAGAGTTGGCCCACAATCAGCATACAATGCCGTTGCCGTTGCCGTTGCCATTGCCTGGTAGTGGTGGTAATGTTGCGGCAGTGGTACTCAATGGGAATGGTAATGGCAATGGAGGTTTGGGTGTTGGTGTTGGTGTCACCCGGCCACCCATCATGCATGTACCGCCAACTGAAGCGGCGACGACATTTCACCACCAAGGTGTAAATAATTTACCAGCAGCGGCAGCAGCTGCCGTGACATCGCCAACTGTCCAGAGCAATGTGTGAAATGCCGGATAAGGAAGTTAAGAGGAAGAAAAGAAGAAGAAACAAAAAAAAAAAACAAAAAAAACCCGTAAAACCAAATTGAAAACGTTTTTTTTGCCGATGACTCGGGAAGAAAAATATTGCCCGCAATATTTTTTGGCGCAGACATTGTTTTTGTTTTTTGGGATTTTGATTTATTGTTGTTTTTTTTTTGTGTGTTTTATATGAAAAAAACCGAAACCGTATTGACTGTGATGACCAACTTCTATGATCTATGATGCTGCTGTCTATTTTCGCCTCTTTGTCTCTTTCGATTTTGATTTTCATCGCTTCTGCAGTGATGATGTGGATGCTGAGCTATTGTGGATGCTGTTCTGATTCTGCAATATTTCTATTTCTGATATATTTATATTCTTTGTTTTTGTACTTGTCCTTGTTTTTCTTTCTTTTTCCTTTTTTTATATTGTCCTTTATTTATATATGTAAATGTATGTCGTAGTTTAATGTACAAAAGAAACTATTTGTTTAAGTTGTGTATGTATTTGTAGCGTTAGTTTGTTAAGAAGGTTTTGTTTATTCGACAGAACCAACAAAGCTTTGTCTTAGTTTGTAATTTTAGTTTTAGAGGACAGAAAACACAATTTAATGTATTTTTGTTAATATGTGTAGAATATTTTTATTCAATAAAAAAATGAGCAAAGAAGTGTCTATCTTTTAATCGGAGCTCTTGGTCTTAAGGCAAAAGAAGCCCCTCATCACCACGTATTCGATTTAGACAAAATTGTTCAGATCGAACTTTTTATTAAAAACAAGTAAAAAAGCAGAAAGTTCAGCCGGGCCGAACTTTGAATACCCTCCTACATTTGGAATGAATTTGGAAATTTTCAAAAAAAAAAAAAAATTTCGCTAAAAATTCTGTTACAATCTTAACAAGTAAAAAACATTAAGTTCGGCCGGGCGGAATTTTTAATACCCCCCACCTTAGGAAACACTAGAACCAATTATGACCCACAAATACCAACTTTTAGACATATTCGTGGGAAAATCATCAAATCCGAATATCAGCAAAATACCGAATATCGGAAGGTACCGCTATATAGGTCTATACAAAAATGTGGACCTATACATACCATATTTCGCCAACGGAGCTAGAACTCATTATGACCAACAAATTCCATTTTTTAGACAAATCCGTGATAAAATGTGACAAAAACCATCAAAATATCGAATATCGGAAGATACCCTTATATGGAGGCTATACCAAAGCGTGGACCTATACATACAGTGTTTCGGCGCATGAACTAGGGCCCATTATGACCTACAAATGCTAATTTTCAGACAAATCCGTGAAAAAATGTGGTAAAATCCTCAAAATACATGCAAAGTTTCGCCACCGGAGCTAGAACCCATTATGACCTACATATACCAATTTATAGACAAATCCATGTAAAATCCAATAAAGAAAGCATTAAAGTCGGGTGGGGCCGACTTTATGATACCCTACACCATTTTGCTAATTTAGTAGAGCTGCGCATAACAATTAAAAGTTTTTATGGGAGAATCCAATCATACACGCTATGCCGAAGTCAGAAGACTAAATATGCCGAAGCATTTGTATCTTTTAAATTCGGACTTGTATTGGCCATTTGGTGCACAATTTATTTGAAATCGGATAAAAATATATATGGGAGCTATAACCAAATCGGAACCGATCTCGATAAAATTTGGCAAAGATATTTCTGAGCTGTATTTCGTATATTTCCCTGAATATCGTTGTTACGGAGTGCATATTACGGCTGTGGGTAACAAATGTAACAAATCGGATGAACAATATATATGGGAGCTATAGCTATATCAGAACCGACCTTCACCAAATTTGACATACTAGCTTCTAGACTCAATACGGTCGTAAGTGCCAAATATCATCCCATTTGGGCAAATATTAGACGTTTGGTGCACAATCAAAGGTAAATCGGACGATGTTATATATGGGAGCTATATCCAAATCTCGATAAAATTTAGAAAATGTATTTCTGAGCTATATTTGATATATTTCCCCAAATATTGTTGTTACAGAGCACATATTATGGCTACGGAGGACAAAAATAACAAATCGGATGAACAATATATATGGGAGCTATAGCTATATTTGAACCGATTTCGGTCAACTTTGGCATACTTATTTTATTTTCAATGTGATCGTACGTGCAAAATTTCATACAATTCTAACTGATATTACACGTTTGGTGCACAATAAAAGGCAAATCGGACGAAGATATATATGGGAGCTATATCTAAATTTCGACCGATTATCTCCAATTTCGATAGAGTTCGTCCTTGGGTCAAACAAATGATTTGTGCAAAGTTTCATCTGGATAGGGCAATAAATGTGAACTGTACTTTGTTTACAAAAATACATGGACAGACGGACGGACGGACATGCATAAATGTGATTCTATGCAGATCATCAAAAGGAACTATGGGTCTATCTCGTTTCCTTTTGCCTGTTACGAACAAATGCACAAAGACATAAAACCCTGACCACCTTGTGGTGTATGGTATAAAACAAATATGGCAAAAATAATGAAAATACCGAATATCGGGAGATACCGGTATATGGGGACTATACCAAAACGTGGACCGATATATCTCATTTTCTATACCAACCATCCAAGACATAATACAAATTATTCTGCTAAATTTTGACGCTCTACTTCAAATAATGTGGGCTGTATCGTGATTTCAACAGACAGACGGGCAGACAGACAGACGGACATAGTTAAATCGTCTTAGAATTTTATGCTGATTATGAATATATATACTTTATGGGGTCTACGACGAATATTTAGGGATGTAACAAACGGTATGACAAAGTTAATATACCCTCCTTTCCAAGGTGGAGGGTATAAAAATACCGAATATAGCCATTATATTAGGGTCTATGCGAAGACGTGGACCTGCATAGGCAACCTTTGTCATAAGTCATTACAATATTTAAATACGAAAAGCGAAAAAAATTGGCGAATAATGTAACTAAAGTCATCAAAATACCGAATACCGTTGTATGTGGGCTATACGATATCTTGGACATATCTAGATATTTCTATTCCTAGGAGTAAAGTGCTTGAAAAGAACTTATAGTGTGGATTTTTAGACCATTCCATTGAAAAATGTTGCTTAAATCATCAAAATACGGAATATAGGGAGGTACCGTTATATTGGGGATATAAGATATCCTGGACCTATATAGAAGGGGATGAAGTTCTCAGAAGGAAATCCTTTTGTGGATTTTCAGACAGTTTTATTGAAAAGTTTGGCTACATTCATCAAAATATTGAATATCTGGGGGTACCATTTTAAGGGGGCTATACGATATCTTAAATTTATATAGACAATTCTTTTCCAGAGTATAAATCACTTAAAAGGAAGTTCTTGTGTTAATTATCAGAAAATTTCATTGAAAAGTGTGACTAAAATCATCAAAATACCGAATATTGGGGGCACCGTTGTATGGGGGCTATACGAGAAAAAGGGTAAAGTACTCAGAAATAACTTCTTGTTTGGATTTTCAGACAATTCATAAATCTACAAGATTAAATTTTCCAAACAATATTTGTTTGGCCCGAGGACGAACAATATTGAAATTGGTGAGAATCGACCGACTTCGGGTTACTTGTGACCAAATGGCCAATATCAGTTCAAATTACCTTAATTTGGAACACCCGGCCGAATTCAGTCTAGAAGCAATTACATCGTCAAAATCGGTTTAGATTTGGATATAGCTCCCAGATACATCTTTATCCGATTTCAGGTTTATTGTGCACCAAAATGTGTAATATCAGCCCAAATGGACTGAATTTTGGCACTTTCGACGGAATTCAGCCCAGAAATAAGTATTAAATATGTTTTAATATATGTTGATATGTATCTTCATAACAGATCTTGCATTAAAAATATATTTGGATGTGTGAAATTTGAAGAGAATTTGGATGCTTATTTCGCTTTCTTTGGATGCTTATTTCGCATTTTGTTTTTCACAATCTTGAACCCAAAGGGTGGGAGGTACCACAAGAAATGGTCCGATTTCTATCATCTTTATAACAGATCTTGTGTTAATGCGTTTTAAGAGCTTCGTGTTTACTTAAAATGATGACCCTTTGTGGGGGTGTACCAGAAGGACTAGACCGAAATATTCCATCTTCACACCAGACCTTGGGTTAGTAAGAAATAGAGAACCAGATGCTTATTTCTAATTTTGTGATCGTGTTGGTCATTCAAAAGTTCGACCATTTGTGGGGGAGGTACCAGAAAGAATGGTCCGATTTCCACCATCTTTATAACAGATCTGTGTTGAGGAAAATATTGAGATGTGCCAAGTCTGAATGGAATCTGATGTAAATTTCGCGTTTTAAGAGCTTCATGGTTACTCAACATGTTGACCATTTGTGGAGGTGGTACCAGAAGGAGTGGACTGAAATATTCCATCTTCAGGTTAATAAATATATCACGATGTGTGTAATTTAAAAACAATCGGCCTCTTAATTCATATTTTATAAGAGTTATAATTCCTAGGTCCTTGATGGAATAGACCGATATTGTCAATTTTAGTAACTAACGTAGAACTAATGCAAATATTAGGATTCGCAATGTTGGAGCAAAATCGGATTATTATTTTTCTTCCTATGCAGTAAACTATTATACCATGAGACATATGGCTGGAGAGAGTATATATCATATACCAAATCTGTATCAGGACATTGTGAGTCAATATAGCGATGTCCGTCCGTCCGTCTGTCTGTCTGGCTGGTGGGTACGATAACTCTCGAAGGGACTATCCGATTTTTCCAAACTTGGTACATCGTAATATTATTGTCAAACTTAGATTGAGTTCGGTCCTCTCCTTCTGGTACCTTCCCCACAAAAAGTCAACATTTTCATAGAAAATAATTTAAGGCATAGGAAAAGAGTGGATAATCGTATTTTCCTTCAAACTTTGCAAATCGTGATATTTGCATAACCGCAAGATCGGGTGCGATAATGAAAAAGATCGGACTACTCCTTCTAGTACCTCCCACACAAAGGGTCCAAACTTGGAATATCTAAAATGCGAAGAATGCATCAGATTCTCTTAAAATTTCACATATACAATATTTTTACCATTATAAAATCTGGTGTAAAGATGGAGTATAGCGGATCATTCCTTCTGGTACCTACGGGCAAAAAGAGGGGTGATCCGATATTGCTTCAACTTTGCAAATCCTAATATTTTCATTGCTAGGTCAGGTGCGGATGGACAATATCGGTCCTCTCTTTCTGGTACCTTCCACACAAAGAGTCGACATTTGAATAACCATGAATATAATTTAATGAACATAATTTGTGCCCGATTGTCTTCAAATTACACACATAACAATATTTGTTAACTCAAGACTGGTGAGATTCATCGGTCCACTCCCTCTGGTACCTCCCACACAAAGGATCAAACTTTTGAATATTCATGAATCTCAAAACTCAAAATTAACTCGCGATTCCATTGAGATTTGGCACATCTCAATATTTCCAAATATTTCCATGGTAGATCGAACCATCCTATCTGGTACTCCCCACAAAGAGTCAACATTTTTAAAAATTTTACTAACAAGATCTGCTGTGAAGATGGAATATATCGGACCACTCCTTCTGGTATCTCCCCCA